AGAACAAGGGAAAGTGGGCCCGATCCAGGGCCATTATGGCCAAGTATGACCTGGAGGTGAGATCATGGAGTCACAGAAGGGTTTGGTTGAAAGGGACCTCATCTCATTCCACCCCCCTGCCATGGGCAGGGACACCTTCCAGTAGCCCAGGTTGCTCCAAGCCCCATGCAACCTGCCCTTGAACACTTCCAGAGACGGAAATGTCCAGCCACAATCTCTCTGGGCACCCTGTACCAGGGCCTCACCACCCTCACAGGGGAGAATTTGTACATATCCTATCTATGCTTGCCTTCTGTCAGTGTGGAGCCATTCCCCCTTGTCCTGCCCCTCCAGGATGTGGTATAAAGCCCCTTTATGCATTGAAAGGCCATGACAAGGTCCCCAGTGCTGACCGGGGAAGTGGGAGAAGCTGAGGTGGGCAGGGAAGGTGGGAATGAGTTCTCTGCCTTGTGACAGAGTTTTTTGGTGCCTCCTAGGCCCGCAAGGCCATGCAGGAACAGCTGGCCAGGAACAAGGAGCTGATGCAGAAGGTGCAGGTGGAGCCACCTGAGGAGGAGCCGTGCGAGGTGCCCGAAGAGGATACTGGAGCCGTGGCCATCCCCACCGGGGTCAGCACGGCTAATCCCTGGATGCTGGGCAAGCCCAGCGCCCCGGCCCCAGAGCCTGAGGCACAGGAGGGTCCCAGAGATGGCACAGTGCCTGGTGCTGCAGAGAGCAAGGAGGAGATGGAGGAGGAGGAAGAGGAGGAGCTGTCAGAGGAGGAAGCTCTGCTACAAGACTTTGAGCAGAAGCGGCAGGCACGACAGGAGCGGGCAGGGAGCCCTGAAGGGCACGGTGAGGAGCATGAGACCCCGAGCAGGGGGGGCTGGGAGTGCTGCAGGGTTGGGCAAAGGAAGGGGGGCTTGGGGGCGGTTTTTGGCTGTTTTCACAGAGCTGCCCTTACTCTCCCACCCTGCTCAGAGTGACCATTTACACCCTCAATGTGTAGGTGCTGGTGAGACTGAGGCCAGTGCTGAGCGGCCGGGGGACAGCCCCATCCCCCCATTCTGTGCTGAGGAGCCGGTGAGCACGGGGCTGGAGCCACCCCCTCAGGCCCAGGAGCAGCTCCTGCTCTCAGAGCAGCTGCACCGTGTGCAGACCATGGAGGATGTGGAGGGTCTGGCCAAGGAGGAGCCTGTGGAAGAGCAGGAGAAGCCAGTGGCCCCGAGAGCAGGGAAGCAAGTGCAGCAGCAGAAGGAAAGAACAGCTGGGGACAGACATGCCGAAAAAACAACAGACAAGAAGAAGATGATCAGCCTGGAGGCTGTACTGGATGGGAAGCCCCAGGAGATGGACTGCCCAAGCCTGCCTGTGGTCGTGGAGGAAGAGGTGAGCATGACGGGCCTCTCCCATGCTCCTCGGTACCCGAAACACCAACCAGTAACACTAGACCCCAAACCACTAATTCCCAGTAACCCTAAACTCCCTTCCAGTAGCCCCAAAACTCCTTTCAGTAACTCACAGTAACCCCAAACCAGTAACCCTAAACCCCTTCCAAGTAACCATAAGCCCCAAACTACTAACTCCCAGTATTCCTAAACCCCCTTACAGTAACCCCAAACCCCCACCCAGTAATGCCCAGTAATTTTTACCCCCCTCCCACTGCCTCGGCACCTCCCAGTTTGTCTCCAGACCCTTCCCAGTCCCTCCCAATTCCCACAGTAACCCCTAAACCTATTCTGCCTCGTCCCTCCGCAGGAGGGTGGCATCGACCAGCGCGGGATGATCACGGAGGCCTTCGCTGGGGACGACGTGGTCGCCGACTTCCAGCGGGAGAAGCGCAAGGCCGAGGAGGCGGCGAAGCCGCAGCCGGTGAACCTGGTGCTGCCGGGCTGGGGCGAGTGGGGCGGCACCGGGCTCCGGCCCAGCACCAAGAAGGTCAAGAGGTGAGTGGGGGAGAGCTCAGGGACATGCCCAGCTCGGCGCCAGCCCTGACCTTCATGTGCCTGCAGGTTCCTGCTCAAGCCGCCGCCGGCGCCTCCCCGGAAGGATCAGCACATGCCCCACGTCATCATCAGCGAGAAGCGCAACATCCACGCGGCAGCACATCAGGTGCGTCACACCTGGTCAGCGTTAGAGCTCCAGCGATCCCTTCCCAAAACGTCCTCCCTCCCTGCCTGTAATCCCTGCTTCCAGCTTAAACAGCCCAGTGGGGTGATGGAGGAGAAGGGATGTACGAGGCTGCTTTGTTGGTGGTGGTGGCTGCTCCAGCCCTCCTGGGCTCTCAGAAGCAGGGCGTGAGCAGGTCCTGGACAAGTGGGAACCAGTGGGAACTGGGGGTAGCATGAGATGGAAGGGCCAGGCTGAGTGGCTCAGGGACATTACCCCTGTGCTGTCCCCGCAGGTCAGTGAGCTGCCCTTCCCCTTCGAGCGGCACCAGCAGTTCGAGCAGAGCATACGGACGCCCGTGGGCACCACGTGGAACACACAGCGTGCCTTCCAGAAGCTGACAGCCCCTCGCGTCGTCACCCGTGCCGGCCACATCATCCAGCCCATCTCGGCTGAGGATGTCCCGGACACGGCCCCCGGCAGTGGGGCCAGCCCCAGGGAGGAGGCACTGCCCCAGCGACAGGCACCGTCCCGGCGCCGCCCGCACCGCAAAGCGCGGTAACTGTGCCTGAGGCCCAAGGGCTTGGACTGGAGCAGGCACAGGTACCAGGAGAAGCTCCTGGTTCTGTCCAGTTCCTTCTTCCTCTTTCCCTGCAGTAAAACCCGGGGCTGCATCCATGTGGCTCCCCTGGCAGCGTCCAAGGCTGGGATGCCCGGTGCCCTCCATGCTGCCCTGGGGGACCACGGGGGGCCAGTGCTTTGGCCGAGTGGAGGGTGAGAGGCTGGTCAAGGGCTTGTGCCGGGGCGGGTCTGGGAGTGAGGGGCTGGAGCAGCTGCTCCCAGCCTGCCCTGTGCTTTCATCTTTCATATCCCTATTTTTTTACCTCTCTGTATTTTTAAATGTTGACCAAAGGGGCTTTCTCCCTGCCCTGCCATGCTGAGCTCGGCCCCAAGGGGATGTTCCTCAGGTCCGCTTGTACCCCCAAGGTACCTGCCCAGCATTAATAAACGTGGTCACCTGGAAACGGCTCTATGAGGTGGGGCTGCTGCTCTGCACGTGCTGGGAGCTGGCTCTGTCCCCAGGCAGCCCGTGGACTTCTTGCTGCCCGCCTCTGCCTCTTGCTGCTGCTGAGCCCATGCTCCCTGCCCAGCCACCCCTGGGAGTGTGACAGCCAGGTGCTCAGTGCTTGCTTGGTGCATCCAGCACAGGCGGAGGGATGTGCCAGAGCCTTGTGGACTGTTCAGGGATCCCTCCAGGCCTCTCCCCCCACTTCCCACGTGGGCCGTGCTCACGCCAGTTGGAGAAACACTCCCAGCCCCAGCGCAGGAGCTGGAGCTGCTGCTGATCCCAGGAAACATGTCCCTCATGCCAGGGACGCCTCCTCCCACCTTGGCACTGCAGCCCGCCCAGGGCCCCGGGCGCTGCCGGGTCCCAGGGCTGCCCTTCTGCCCTGCAGCCGGGTCAGACCGGGAAAGTGGGGGTCGTCCTGTGGGGCTGGGGCACAGGCACCCCTCCAGGCTGACGGTGGGTACCCTGTGACTCCACAATTTCCACCCAAAACCCCGCAGGGCTCCAGATGCTGGCCCTTCCTGGGCTGGGAGGGGAGTGAGGGCTGACGTGGGGCTGGGGGCTGGCTGTGCCACGGCCTCGCCGGGGACCCGGCCCGGCTGTCTCCGGCCCCCGCAGCACCCGGGGCGGGTCAGAGCGCTGGCCTGCGATGGGGCCGCGGTTGTGTTGTTTGGGAAAAAAAAAAAAAAATTAAAGGAAGCGGAGAGCATTTCCGTGCCGTGACGCCGAGAGCCCCTCGCAGGGCTGGTGGCCCCAGCTCGGAGCCCGCGTCCCTCTGCCATGGGAAACCTTCGCCCCCGGGGTTGTCGCGGGGGGGCGAGGGGGGTGTCGTATTTGTTTTAGTAAAAGGTGAAACACCCTGAGCAGGGGGAGGCAGGGCTCACGTGGGGCAGGCACAGGCCCCCGCCAGCCCCTCCACCTGCCCACAGCCCTCCCCGGGCCCCCTTCAGACCCCGGGGACTGAGGCAAGGAGATCCCTGCGGCACCGCTGTCCCTGTCCCTCCTGCAGGGGCCCTACCTCGCCTGCCCTGGCCCAGGGCTCTGCCTTCCTCCTCCCCAGCCCCAGGACAGTGCTCAGCTGGTATGGGCTGGGTACGGGCTGCCCCAGTACCCAGCCCACCTCCCCAGCTCCAGCCCCGGGATGCTCAGAATACCCGGGTGGGGAACGGTCCTGAGGGGCCTGATGCCTGTCAGAGCAGAGCTGGTTCAGGCTCAGCAGGTGCTGTAGAGCACTGTCCTGCTCTTTGCCTCTCTGCAGGGAGGGGGTACTCCCCACGCCTCTTCCATCCCCAAATTTGGCCCACCTCATGGCAAAGGATGGTCTGCTGCTGCCGTGCGTGCGTGGTGCCATCTCTGTCCCCCGAGGAGGGGGCAGAGCCCCACGGGGTCTGGCCCTGCCCCAACCTGAACTGGGACCTCCCCGGCTCCGATGTGACTCCTGCAGGGCCAGCATGATGGTGGCACCAGGGCAGTCTACCCCTGGGGTGCAGATCCTGCAGAGGACCGGGGCCACCAGGTGTGACAGCAGCTCAGGCCTGGGTGGAGCAGGTGGGTTTGCTGCTGTCACAAGCTGGATCACCTGGAGCAGCGAGGGGACCTGCCAAGGTGCAGATCCCCGTACTGAGGCTGCCTCGTGCATAGCTGGTGTCCAGCAGCCTGAGTGTGGGTGATGCTCAGCGTGAGAGGGAACAGCTGTAGCCAGACTGCTGGATCTGCCTCATCCTGTAAGGAGCTGGGCTTGGACTGGGCTCGAACTGGGGCTTTCAGCATCCAGAGATACTTCAAAAATAAACAGGGAAAGCATCAGCATGAGCTGCTGGGATGAGTTGGAGGGATCCTGGTGCCTGGGAGCCACTGATGCTGACCTTCTGACCCCTCCAGGCAGCTGGGCGGGCCCCCCACTCTAGCACAGGCTCATCCAGAGCTCCCACATCGAGGCAACGCTTATCCCTCTGACTTCCCTGCAGAAGTGGATTTGCTGGGCACAAGAGCATGGGGTTTCTTAGTTAATAACCAATTGCAGGTCTGCTGCAGGAAAGGGGAATGCCAGGGGTGTCCACTGGCAGCTCCCAGGGCGCCAGGGAAGGTGGGGAGAGGAGCTACGACTGGGGGAGCCCTTTGCAGGGGGAGCAGAAAGGAGCCGGGGAGCCCCCAGGGCCCCGGCACGGCTGCGGGCTGAGGACGGCTCCCTGCAAGGACTTCCCCGTCCTGATCCTCGCCCTTCCCGCGGCAGCAGGGCCGGCCTCTGGCTGCCGGACGAGGTGCGAGTCGGGGAGAACCTGGACAAAAAGCTCTGCTGTCGCCGGCCGCCACCTCGGCCACGGGAGCCCCGGAGCAGCGGTGCGAACACGCAGCCTTCCCTCGGCCGCCCCAGCGCCGCGTCCCCCGAGAGCTGCGAGCGGCTGCGGTTGCTCTTACTGGCCTACTTTCCGGGCTACGTCAAAGCCGGGCTTACGGAGCCGGGAGCCGCGGCGAGGGCGGCCGAGCAGCTCCCGGTGCCAGCGGGGAGCGGGGGCTAATCCCGGCCCTGGGCCGCCCAGCCCGGCTGGCACAGCGGGCCGCTGGGCACCGGGGCAGGGGCGGCGGCGCTGCTGTGGGGCTGGGGACGTGCCAAGGCAGCGGCACAGCCACCGCGGGGTCCCCTGGGACAGGGACCCACCGGGAGAGCCGGTGCCCGAGCCCAGGCACTGCTCCAGCGCAGGGGAGCTGCCGGTGCAGCCGGGCTCCTGCACCCACCATCCTGGGAGGCCAGTGGGAGCAGGATGGAGTAAAAGGCAGATTTAAAATCAACAAACAAAAGGCTTTTTGGTCGCTGTTTTTTTGGGGGGGATTGGGTTTTTTTTGGTTTCTTTTTTGTTTGTGGTTTTGTTTTGTTTTGTTTTTTTTTTTAATGCAGGCTATAAATAACCTGTAAAATATTTTATCTGGGCTGTTTCTGCAGCTGAAATCTTGTCCCTCTGGCTTCCCAAGCTCGGGATGTGAGTGCAAGCACTGGGGCCGTCATGGAGCACCCCAGGATCCCTGGGGTTCTGTGCCTTTGCTCGCTGGGATCCCTGAACACCTCCAGCACCCATGGGTTGGAAACGGTCCTCCCCAGAACGGGCTTGAGCTCCACTCCCCGGGGTGGGAGAGGGGCTGAGCCCTCCCAGGCCGGACGGAGGTGTGAGGCTCAGCGTGGCACAGTGCAGGACGAAGAGAGCTGGGGAGGAAGGTTTGCAGTTGGAATTTCAGGCACAGGAGTGCTCCCCCCAACTTCCCTGTCGCTCCTGTCCCGTGCGGGGGACGGAGTGCTCCCTGCTCCCCAGGCCTCTCAGTCTCCACCGCCCCCCACCAAGGGCTCCCCGACACCCCATCTCTCCCTCCGTGGTACCGGTGCCCGGCGCATCCCGGCCGCATCCGGGCGCCGCAGCGGTTTCCGTGGAGATGGCATCTCCCGAGCCCGCACCGCCCGAGCCGGGGGTTTCCATGGAGATGCCGTATCCAGCACGGCACAACCTGAGCCGGAGATTCCGCCGAGATGCTGTAGCCGGGACCCTCGCCCCGCAGTGGGACCATTCCCGGGAACGCGGGTGGCTGGGCCCCGCGGTGGCTCCGGGGTGCCTGTGGTGTCACCCACTGCTCCTCACATCGGTTCGGTGGCAGCGCTGGGACACCGGCAGCTGCGGCTCCGAACGTCCTGAGGCTGGAGCCACCACTAGCCTTGTCCCCCTCCAGAGTGGGGACCCACTCAGTCGGGCTGTGCTGTCATATGCAGGGTCTCCCGGAGGTGGCAGGTCCCTGCCTGTCCCCAGCCTGGGGAGGACAGGGCTAAATCCCCGTGTCCCCGTGATGACTTTGTCCCAGCTGTCACCTTGCAGCTCCCCCAGTGGCACGTGGGGGCTAGGATGGGATGTCAGGGACACCAGGTGGGGAGCAGACACCGTGCTGGACCCCTATACCTGAGGAGACCAGGTACCCCAGCCCCAAACCAGCAGCATCTGGGAGCTGGGGGACACCTGGCCAAGCTCCAGCAGAGACACAGCACCAAAAACCTCCCAGGGGGGACATGACCATCCCCAAAGGGCAGGATTGAGGCCAAGCCGGGGGTGAGCAGAGGCAGATGTCCTCCTGGCAGGCAGCTGTCTGTACGTGTGCCCTGGCCAGTGTTACAATAGCAGCTTCGTCTGAGCACAGCTACCGCAGAGGTGGCACCTTTCGTTCCACACACAGCGGATCTCTGGCAAACCCGGAGCTCCCGCTGCAGAGACAGCAGGTAGAAGCACGGGAGCACCGCTGGGACACATGCTGGGACACACCCGTGCCCATTCGGTGCCTGTGGGAAACGCAGGGTTGGCTCAGCCCCCACGCCCCTCCCTCCTACAGCCCCCGCCGCGTTCCCTCTGCACAGCCTCCCCTCCCAGCTCGACCTTCCTCACTCGCCCATGCCCTGTCCTGAGCCGGGGCCACCTGGAGCCCCCACGGGGGCTTCTCCACTGGCAGAGCAGCAGCAACCAGGTCCTCCCACATCCCGTGTGGAGCGTGACAGCCCTCAGCCCTGGGGATCAGCGCTGGGGGGCTGCAGCCAGGAGCCTGGGGGTGATGCCTGTGGCTTAGGCATCGCTGGCCATTTCAGCCTCCAGCTCCTGAGGGGCCACAGGCCCCCTCACAGCCCGGCCACTGCCGAGGCTGCCGGCAGCACTTCCAGCGTCCCCAGGCACAGGCTGCCAGACGCAGCGCTGCGGTCAGAGCCCAGCTCTTTGTCTGCCGTTACAATTAGGAGCCCCAGGCGGCTGCCGAGGCTGAACCTGGGGGGCTCAGGGCTGGGGGACGGATACTAAAGGAGCAAGAATCTGGCATGGCAGCCTGGGAGCAGGGGCAGGCCCAGTTCTGCCCGCAGCCAGCTGCTCTCCGGAGCCTCCTGCTGCGCAGAAAAGGGCTGGAGTGGAGCCAGGGCTCACTGTGGGCACCCCTCTCACC